CCCTTTTCAAACCCGCCCAATCCCAATAAAGAAACAGGCCCTTGTTGGCTCTAAGGCCTCATCATCAACAAGGTCATGAACTTTGCTAAAGCAAAATGATAATTAATGAGTCATAATTAGTTGATAAGGTTGAAGCATTCAAGTCAGTGTATCCCTATCCAAAGCTATAAGGATGTGGTGTAGTAAATTATCATGTCCTATTTCGGGCTATATTATGGCCATCAATTAAGGATCCAAATTCCCAAATACTTTTTGATGGGATGTTTTTTATGATTAAGGGGGACGAGACACGTGTCCTCGACATATTGGCCACAAAGTGTTGTTTGGATGACACGTGTCCTCAGCATCTTGTCTGCGAAGTGTTCTTCGAATGTCTGCAGAGTCCTCGACATCTTGTCCGCGAGTGTTCTCCGAATGTCCACGGAGTCCTCAACATCTTATCTGTGAAGTATTCTTCGAATGTTCGCAGAGTCCTCGACATCTTGTCCGCGAAGTCCTCGGCATCTTGTCCATGGAATGCTCTCCAAATGTCTACGGAGTCCTTAACATGTTGTCCGTGGAGTCCTTGACATCTTGTCTGTAGAGTCCTCAACATCTTGTCTGTGAAATGTTCTCTAAATCTCCACAGAGTCATCGGCATCTTGTTGGCGGAGTGTTCTTCAAATGTCCGCGGAGTCCTCGACATCCTGTCCTTGACTTCTTGTCCATGGAGTCCTAGGCATCTTGTTGGCGGAGTGTTCTCCGAATGTCCGCGGAGTCCTCCACATCTTGTCCACGGAGTCCTTGGCATCTTTTTCGTGGAGTGTTCTTTGGATGACACACGTCCTCGAGAATTTTGTCTGCGGAGTATTATTTGGATGACATGTATCCTCAGCATTTTGTCCACGGAGTATTCTCAGAAAAACACGCGTCCTCGACATCTTGTCTGCTAAATATTCTTTGGATGACACACATCCTCGGCATCTTATCAGCAAAGCCCTCTCTACAAGAAATGTCACCTCGGCGTTAGGTCTTCCATGTCGGAAAACATGGATAATAGTTTTTTATGGATCTCGTGACTTGGCAGCAGAGTGGATTGTCAATTATTGGTTCCCCCTTTCCAAGATGGTCAAAATGACAGTCCAATAACCAATGGTAAAGATATACAAAGTATAAAGTTTTGAAATGTTGAGCCCCTAGAAGGGTGATGGACGAAAGGGCCCTTACGCATTCATAACCATAATTAGGTTACAATAAATGTTTTCCTCAGAAGAATAAGGAGCATTTATTGCTCGGCGAGCTAAGAAAGGCCCGAGCATTAAATGTAGGAGTTTTTGTCACGTAAAGAGGAAGGCTCACTGGTCGAGGAATGAGCACCACCTGTTGGCTTCCAAATGAGCCAATGAGAAGCCTTCCCTCCAGGGGACCTAGTTGTCCGCAATGATTGACTCCATGGAGGTATAAGTAACTCTCTCAAACCCAAGTTTAAGTTACACATATTCTCACCCAAGCAATAGAACAATGTTTCTTACCCCTCTCTCACATGTTGACTTGATTATCGGAAGGGTTACGCCAGAAAACAGTCTGACACCCTTCTAACATTTCTTCTTGAGTGGCAAGGTCCATCTTGATAAGTCGAGATCGTCTAGACAACTGGAAAGTAATTCATCACTACTCCTTATTCCATCTCTCACATCCGTTTGCTGCAGGACCATCGACTTTTCAGGTAATCTTGAGTTCACAAAGGGAGAGATCTTTTTATTCATTTATTGTGCAAAAATTACCGCACACTTTTTTAGTTAATTAGGCTAGGATTGTTCTCTTTGGTGTGTAAACTAATTTTAGTCTTATCGAATTTTTAGTATTAAAAGAGGTCTTTCAATTTTTGAAAAAACTTGCATGCGGTCCCTGCATTGGCGAGAATATTAAGGGATTGGTTAATTATTGATTTTAATTCCATTTTTGTCATCATTACATAATTTCAGGCTAAAATACAATAAATTTTCTTTTATTTGCATTTGTTATTGAGATTTTTGCGGTGTTGTTTATCAGTTTTGAAATTCAAATTCGTGAACCAAGCAATTTGGACATTATAATGATATTTGGCGATCTGTATTTTAGTATACATATCTGACGATCTGTGTTTTATGGAGAAGAATGTACATTAACGATATGTGTTTTAGTGTACCTATCTGACGATCTGTATTTTAATCTACCTGTCTAATGATTTGTGTTTATGGAGAAAAAAATACATTAACGATCTGTGTTTTAATGTACATGTCTAACAATCTATTTTTATGGAGAAGAATGTGCATTAATGAGTTGTGTTTGTGGAGAATAAGGTACATTAACGATATGTGTTTTATTGTATTAATCTGATGTTCTGTGTTATAGTGTATGTGTCTGATGATCTGTGATTTTAGTGTATCTGTCTGACAATAATTGTGTACTTTTTTTATATTTTTTTTATTATGTACATATTATTTTTTATTTTTTATTGTGCACATTTTATTTTTTATATTTTTTTATTGCATACCTGTTATTTTTTATTTTTTTATTGGTGCCTATTATTCTTTGACTCAATAGTATACATTTTTAATTGTGTATTTTTTTTAGAGTACCAATATTACGATTTGTGTTTATGAAAAAAAATTTTGAATAAGTATTTAAATTAAGTGACGACACTGTCGCTATTTTTTACAATTATAAAAGACGTCCATTATTTTGACTTAACAACAACTTAATCCACACAAAAATTGACAAATAATTTTTTTTTAAAATCTTGTTAGGCCTAGGTACCGAATTCCAAATTTCTCGAACTTTTTCCACCCACTTGCTTCCTCCGTAGATCGTCTGCCATGTATTCTTAAGGATCCCGGTCAAATGTCATTTTATTCTATATTATAAAATAGGACGGCTTCAACATCCAAAGACCTCAAATCAATTCATTCATCCGACGGACATTAATACTCTTTCTTTCCTCATTCATCTCTTTTTACTCGTTATTTTTCAAAATCAGCCTACCCTCAATCACTTCACCTGTCAGAGATGCAGTCCCCCTACGTCTCTATTTTTTTTTTCAGACCTCTCTCAAATGCCTCTGCTTCAAATGCAGTCCCCCTACACCCAACGACGCCACCAACAACACCAGCAGCAGCAGCGCCACTTCGTTAGCAACACCACCACCACCAACATCTCTCTTCTTCGTCTCTCTCTGTCTCCTCCTTTGCTAGCTCTCTATTCCCTTTCACCCTTCACCGACCACCCCACCGACCCAGGTATGCTCTTCTACCTCTCCCTCTCTCTCTCTCTCTCTCTCGCCTCCCTCTCTACGCACGCACCCACAGTCACACACACAGTCGAACAAACACAAACAAACCCTCACCCAGCCAGAGCACGCAATCACAGTCACATACACACACATCATAGCATACCCAATATGTTAATATAGGGTTTTGAATTGGGTGTTAATTTAAGGTTTTGAAATTGGGTGTTAATTCCTCTACTTTGTATTCTTTGTACTGGACATTGGATAAGGATGAATTTGTGATTGAATTGTAAATTGTAAATTGTTTAGAAATAGCTGGTAAGTAGATCATTGAGTGAAGCTCTTTTCTTATTTTATTTTTAGTAGCTAAAGCTCATGGTTCCTTTTTTTGGAGTATAGTTGAACATGTTGGTTGTTCACCTTGGTGTCTCTTTTGGTGGATGATGATATGAAACACACGTGATAGTGTTTGTTTTTATTTCGTACTCTTAGTAGTGTTTTATTTCTCTCTTTTAGGGTGTGGTTATGAAACTAAAAAAAATTATATACAGCTTTAAACGTTTATGAGACAGTTATTAGAGGGAATTTCGCCAAAATTTTAAATTTTTTTTGATTTCATAGCCTTGACGTGGGATGAATGAAGTAAGAGTGAGGTAGACAACCAAAAATTTTTATTACAAACTTACATAGTTATCCTCATCAATGTTCCAAATTTTTTTTGCGACTTTAAGGCCTTTGCCATGGTCTTTGATTTCATTAAATGCAGCATCTATATTAAAATAGTTCCTACATTCAGAAAATTCAACCATTTGAATGTTCTCAAACATACAAAGAAACATATTTTAGGGGTAAAAGCATTTGGGTGGCAAGTAGAATTTTTTTGGTACTTTCGTTTGATGATTTATGTCTCTGTTTCTTTTGGGTTTGGATTTTGTTGCACTTTAAGCTACTTCAATGTGGTGGTTATGCTCATTGCCATTAACCTGTTGTACCAAGCAAAGATACCCAGTTTTGTTCATTAGGATTTGTTCAATTGTGATAAAAGGTTTGGCTAAAACTTTTTGTGCTTCTGGACCTTTGAAGGTACTTTTAGCTCTATCTTCTTGTTTCGGATATAATTTCATTTTACCAACCATCTACTTGGAGTTGCCTTCTTATGTACCTGTCCAACCCCCTAGCCACCCACCCAATATCATCCCAATTCCAAATTAATTTTTGTTCTCTCAGTTTTCCTGCGTAATAAATAGTTGATTCATGGGCTCAAACATCAAATCTGAAGTCCGAATTGATAATTATATTCTTTATTCTTTGTTTTTAGTTTTGGGCATATGGATATGTGGGTGAATGCATTTTTTGAGAAAAAAAATTTAGTTTTTATGTTTTCACGTGTTTACCCAAATCTGCAGGTATGCAAGGTATTTGATGGTTTGATTGTAGCCCTTATAATGTTTCTAATCACCTAAATCTGTGCATTGTTCCCATCTCTTTTTATTCCTTTTTGCTTTTGTAAATAAAAAGGATGGCATTGTTGCTTTTGAGCAAAAACTAAGTATCAAGAGAAGTTCAGTGCTTGTAGCTAATATCTTGGATACTTTGGTATCGAGTGAGTGGCTATGAACTGAACTGCTTTCATCTGATTATTTGCATTATCGAGTTAAGTAGTTTTGTGTTGATAGTTGCATGATCTGTCCTCCTCTTATGTCTTCATTAACATATATATGTTGACAGGGGTATTTATTTCTTGTCTCAGGCAATGGTTGCCAGAGGAGATCTTGGAGCAGAGCTGCCAATTGAACAGGTTCCATTGTTGCAGGTAATGCCTTCATTTGTTGATTGAAGAGTAATGATACTGTGATAGGGATTGCATAGTACAGAGATGAACATTGCCCCCCTTGTGAAATGTAGGAAGAGATTATCAGGATTTGTCGTAATCTGGGGAAAGCTATTATTGTGGCAACAAATATGCTGGAAAGCATGATTGTTCTTCCTACACCAACCTGAACAGAAGTTTCAGACATTGCCATTATATTTAGATAGGGTACTTTTCCCTGTTCCTTCCTTGAACTTTCGGCTAATGATTGGGAAGTAGTATTTGGGAGTAGGGAACATCATAGTCCACCATATTGGTTTCAGTAGAATTTTGTTCGACAGAGTGTGTCGTGTCAATGTAGTTAACTTCTTTTGCTGGAAGAAAACGAAATACGGAGTAAAGTTATTTGGATTGAAGTTTACTTTACTCATAGAAATACTTGTCAATTTGGTTCTTTGAACGTGCATTCAATTGTTGTTGTTATACTATTTTGTGTTATTTAAATAGAACTTAGGGTTTCTTGTAATTGATTTTGAATTTTTGATGACATGGTTAATCTTGAGTAGAAAGAATAAACAAAACCCCTTTACATGTCTCACTTCCATGCAGGTACCCTCTGAAAGTTGTCAAGGTCATGCACACAGTCTCGTTGCGGACCGAAGCAACCATGGTTGGTGGGGAAACACCACCCAATCTTGGCCAAGCCTTCAACGTTATGTCCAATCTTAATTTATAGATTTTGAGTTCTTTGTTTTCTAGGTGTATATATGTACATATTATGGGTGTAAAACTGCTCACTTGAACGTCAACCCTGAATGCTTGACTCTTTTTTTGTGCAGAACTGTATGAGTGAAATGTTTGCATTCCATACAACAATGAAGTCTAACACTCTTGGAACCTCCACCGTTGTCTTCACCAGGACTGGTTTTCATGGTCATCCTATTGAGCTACTATTGACCTTCTGGCACTGTATTTACCTTTACAAATGAGTGAGTCAATAACTTTGGAGTGAACTCATGATTAATATTTTGAAAAAAAAAATCTACATTTCCAAAAATGAGGCCGTGCTATCATGAAGGCGTTTTAGTTTGGCTGGAATGATGAAGTTTGGATTTTTTATGGAATTTTTCTATTGTATTTTTGTTTCTTCATACTAATGATTTTTGGACAAGAATCCACAAATTGACTGAATTATGATCCCATGGACTGGTGTGTAGGAAGAGGATACTCTGTCTTTGTTGCAAATGCTCTGTCTTTGTAAATGCTCTGTCTTTATTGCAAAAGCTCTGCCTTTGTTGCAGGTGAGGATTCATTGCTCTTATTTCATTGATTACATTTTATGTGGTAACTAATCCGTACATGTATCAGAACTTGATCATTGCTAAGCAGTGTCTAATGCTTTTAATCTGCTGTTAAATTTGTGGTTATGGAATGCGAATCTTCGTACTATTTGAGTCTCATAGCATAACAGTTTGATCTTTTTCTCTCATATTTTCTGTCAAATCTGATTGCATGTTTTCACCTTCCCTCTGTAGTCTCTGCTTTCCCTCCCCACTCTCTATTACACTCACACAAACCCCAAACCCCAAACCCAAATCGGCCCATCCCCATTGTTCCTCTCTCTCTCTCTCTCTCTCTCTCTCTCTCTCTCACACACACACACACAAGCACACAAACACCCATCTGTCAACCACGTCTCTCCTCCTTCAACCCTCAATTTTTTGCCCACATACACCCACCAACCTCTACACACAACCCCCCTCTCTCTCTTATGCAAACACACACATCCCCCTCCTCTAATCACTCTTTTTTTCAACAACCTTCCACCCACCCACCAAAGTTCACCCATAATTATCAATTTTATGTTGAATCCAACTAACAATAAAAGTAAGGGGTCTTATGTTTTGAATTTACAACTATTTTATTTTGCCTCACATATTTCGATAATTGGTTATATTTCAAATATTTTTAGGTATACATAGAAGGATATAAAGATGAAGTTGGAGGTGTTTCTCTATTTGTGTATGTGTGTATTTTTTGTGTTCAATTTTTTGTACAGTTAACTAATTATACATGGTTATGATGATTTTGTTTTGGTGGTTTGGATAAACATGGTTATGATGATTGTGGTGATATGTATAGTTGTAAGTTTTATAGACAAGTTTAGATTTTTTTGGGCTTCTAATTTTAGAGGAAATTTTGCCCAAATTTTTTGAAATTAGTAGGGACTAGCTTGATGTTTTGGTGGTTGGATATGTGTTGATGATTGGGTATGTATTGATTATTGTGGTGGTATGGTGCATTACGATGATTGTTATATATGATTGTAAGTTCTGTAGACAGGTTTAGATTTTTATGGATTCTTATTTTTAGAGAAAATTATGCCAAAATTTCTGAATAATAGTATGGACTACCTTGATTTCAAATTGACAGGTTATTTTAGGTTGCAAAGAGTCTTTAGGTAATGTAGGATTTTTCAAGTATTAATTTAATTTTTCGTTACGATATGTCTTCAGGCACGGATAATTACTAGTCAATTAATAAACAAAAGCAGAAGGAATCTTTACAATATCAAAAGAAGACACCAACTCAATACATGTAAAAGTCCACCAATTCATGTATTCGTAAGTCCACCACATGTTAGTTCCCTGTCTTTTTATGAATGTCTTTAACGTCAATCGTATCACTGATCAATAATTGAGAGAGAGATCACTGTGTCAAACCAACCAGCCAACCAAGACTATCATATGAAGCCAAAAAAAAAAATCAGCATCTATAGTCGTGGGTACCTAAACAATGTCTAACAAGCTTATATAACAACAATCCAGTATATTTGCATTCATCACTAGCCTCCCGTATCAAAAATTGGAGGGAAGTTCAAGAGATAAGAGTAATCCGTTCAGTGGGAGAATTGAGTGATGAGATCCAACCAAGAAGTTATTGGAGATGGAGCAAACAAGATTTTTTCCCAGAAGAATCTTTTAAAACCTAGACAACATACGGATCTGCGCTGTCACAAACAACTGCACGCTTCAAGGACCGTCTTGTAAGCCGATCAGAGGATGCTGATGAGCTCATAGAGCTCCGGAAACAAAGTGAGAACGAAATGAAACGTTGCCTCACCTGGTGGGACCTTATCTGGTTTGGGTTTGGCTCTGTCATTGGAGCCGGCATCTTTGTGCTCACTGGCCAAGAGGCCCATGATCATGCCGGACCGGCCATTGTCTTATCCTATGTCGCATCAGGTGTCTCAACAATGCTTTCAGTTTTCTGCTACACGGAATTTGCAGTAGAAATTCCGGTCGCCGGAGGTTCTTTTGCTTACCTGAGAGTAGAATTAGGAGACTTTGCGGCATTTATAGCAGCAGGGAATATACTGCTTGAATCCATTGTGGGAACTGCAGCTGTTGCTAGATCCTGGACTTCTTATTTCACGACTCTTTTGAATCGACACCCGAACTCATTACGTATACATACAAATCTCACAAATGGGTTCAACCTCCTTGACCCTATTGCTGTTGTAGTTCTGGCAATTGCAGCCACCCTAGCCATGATCAGCACAAGGAAAACTTCATACTTCAACTGGATTGCATCTGCTATAAACACCATAGTAATTTTCTTTGTGATAATTGCAAGGTTTGCTCATGCTGATACGACTAATTTGCAACCCTTTATGCCTCATGGTGCTGAAGGGGTCTTCCAAGCAGCAGGAATTGTGTATTTTGCTTATGGAGGATTTGACAATATTGCGACAATGGCAGAGGAAACAAAAAAACCATCAAGAGATATTCCACTCGGGTTGCCTGGATCAATGTCAATGATCACTGTGATATACTGTTTGATGGCACTTGCTCTGAGTATGCTGCAGAAATACACCGATATAGACACAAGTGCAGCATACTCTGTTGTATTTCAGAGTGTAGAGATGAAGTGGGCTAAGTACCTGGTTGCTCTTGGAGCCCTCAAAGGGATGACCACTGTTCTGTTAGTAGGAGCACTAGGGCAGGCACGCTATACTACTCATATTGCGCGAGCCCACATGATTCCACCGTGGTTTGCTCTCGTCCACCCAAAGACAGGAACCCCTATTAATGCCACTCTCTTAATTACCATTTCAAGTGCCATTATTGCATTCTTTTCAAGCTTGAATCAGTTGACAAGTTTGTTATCAGTCAGCACACTCTTTATATTCATGATGATGGCAGTGGCACTTCTTGTGAGGAGATACTATGAACGAGGAATAACTCCTCGAGCAAACCTCTTGAAGCTAGTTGCCTTCTTGCTGATCATTATTGCTTCCTCCATGGGGACTTCAGCATTTTGGGGATTGAACCCCAAAGGTTGGATTGGTTACACCATCACCGTTCCTCTGTGGTTCTTGGGGACCTTGGGGATTGCAATTTCTCTGCCACAGCAACGAACACCAAAATTCTGGGGAGTTCCACTTATTCTGTGGTTGCCATCCTTGTCAATTGCAACAAATTTGTTTCTCATGGGATCATTGGGATCTCAGGCTTTTATAAGGTTCGGCGTCTGCACATTTGTAATGCTGGTCTACTATGTTCTTTTTGGTCTCCATGCAACATATGACATGGCCCATCAGCAACACAAGCTAGAATCACAAAAAAATCTTCAAGAAGTAGACATGGAAAAAGCAGGGCCATAAGAAGTTAAATTACCCAATGCCACTTCAATAGTTCATCCAAGAATGCAGTCCTGAGACTGAAAATATATGTACTTATGTAGCATCAAACTTGTGAAATCAACCATCCGAATTAAGATCATTACCCCTCAATGCAACAATGAAGAGGAGAAAATTTTATACATGCTAGCAATAATTTTTTGTGGAATTACTTCCTAAAGAAATGTCACCTCTCAACCAACTTAATCCTCAAAAGTACAGGTTTTTTTACCAACAAATATTTTTTGCAATTGGAAAAAAATGATTTTAGTCTTGATTCACCATAGATTCTTGATGTCTCTGGCGAGTTCATAAAAAGAAAGTGGGCGTAACTGTTTTTGAAGAAGCTAAAAAACATATCAAGAACAAGAATGATGTCACATAAAAAAAGAGGAATTCAGGAAGTAAAGGGTATAAACAACAGGAAGCAGCAAATATAAAAAGACATCAAGGAAGAAATATGGTTCCTTTTGTAGAAATTTTCAATATGGGTATACCACTAAAAAGTTCTGCCATACAAAAAAAAAGTCATTGCCTAGTTTGGTCCTCCTTAATAAAGGGTGCTGTGAGCTGAGCAATGAGTACACAGACAGACTTAACATTTAGACTTGCATGGCATGCATATTCCAAGATTCCAATAACTCTTTGCAGCTGATAGATAGATCAGAGATGTGCCAAAATAAATGAAATATTTAAGTACCCAGTACACGAGGCTCCTGCTATTGTAGGGTCTGGGGAGAATTACATGTATACAATCTTACCCGTGCAAGCAGAGAGATTGTTTCCGCGACTCAAACCCGTGACTTGGAAACTCATGACATCCAAGTCACAATGGTGCAACTTTAACGTTATGCCAAAGCCCACCCTCCAAATGAAATACTTTAGTATCATAAGAAAAGCAAAAGAAAGAATGACATAGACCAGCCATGCTTGGCTGATCTGGATCTCATTGGTTCCACCACAGGCCATTAAACTTGTTATTCACATTGGATGTGTCAAAATCCTGTCTTCTGAACAACATGGCTTGAGGAAAAGGAATTCAGTTAGATTTCCTTATTGAACAACATGGAAGAATTAGAAATACAACGAGAAACCGACCATCATACTCTACCACTTATTCAGCACAAATATCAATTTGTGGACAGATGACACTAACAAAGAGTTACTTGCTATTATTCCCTTCTTCTAAGTACGTTAGAATCCATAAAAATGGAAACATTTATCATGACTTAGTCAAATTTTTAGGCGATAAATACCTTTTTTTTATAGGAAATGAAAATTTTATTAATACTCTAGTTTAATTAGGGATAATTAGTAATTAAAAACTAAAAATAAGAATTTAGGGAAAAAAAAAAAGAAAAAAAAAAGATGACAAATTTGAATATGATGAAGGAAAAGAAGGGTCCAATTGGATTGGCTGAAAGCAAGTAGGAGGTGAAGGCTTCAAAATCTTCAAGCCATGCCATGAGATGATTGGAGGGGATGATTTTTGGCTATAAAAAGACAACAAATATATGCAAAACTCGTCTGAGGCATTCCTAAGGGTGTGGTTTGGATCAAAATACGCCTCTTTTCAAGGGCTTTACAGTAAGCTTGAGATTGCCTACCCAACTTCGTTTGGATATTGTAACACCCAAATAAAAATAACAGTGCACTAATTGTCTCAATAAATTTTATTTATCAAAATTATCTCCCAATACAAAAAAATCTGTCAATATAAATAAATATCTCAACAGGATTAAAACATCAATTCCATCGACATCTTCCCGTCTTTAATACTTTGATTATCTCGTTCCGATCTTTTTTCTAAAATCAACCTGAAAATATTAAATAAAGCGGGGAAGTATACAATATGACAAGGAAAAATATGCTCAAGGACATTGAATAACAAATAATCGAGTATCACAAAGTATCTCAATCAACAAATACAAATAGCATATTTGTATATCACACGTCATGCAGAATCTTAAAACCGATCTGACACCTCACCAATCATCCCACCTCAACCCGATCCCACCGGTGTCTTGGTTGGCGATGCACCGACTATTGGCTATAACGATCTCGTCTCAATATCCGCAAAATACGATTAATGAGATCAAGAACACGATCAATGAGATCAAAATATTCAACGATATTCAATTGAAATTCTAAAATAATGATAGTACAAGTTGGAATACAAATCAAAAGATAATCAAAGAAATACTCTTTGCAAAGAGATTTAAAAAGAGCATATTGTATACCACCCCGTACCTCAGAATCATTATTTGAATTCAATAACTCTTATTTCCATTTCATTTTTCTTATTTTTGAGTAGCCCTCTACTTCTCATTTTTCTCTTCTTTGTTTCTACCAGACAACTCCCTGTCTGTCTCTCGGTTTATCTTTCAAGACCTCCTCCACTTTTTTTTATTTTTGGCTATCTTTATATGCTAGGAAGGTGGGACGTCTTCTGCCAAATTCATTGGCAAGTGTTGAAAAATCTTTCCATGATTTTTTCTACAATATATTCAATGCTAGCTGAAATCTCATTTCTTTATTCTTTCTCTCTCTTCTTTGTCTTGTCTCTTTTTTTTTTTTTTTCAAAGTCTTCACGTGGGTGAAGACCAAAGAAGTATAAATGTTAAGATATTTATATTTTACTCCCCTTTATTTCACTTATTATATATATCAACCACAAAACTTAACTATTCCTTATACTTTCACATCAAAACTCATAATATTTTACACTTAAACTACTTCTAAAAATTTGGGATCTCACAATCTACCCTCTTTAAAAGAATTTCGTCCCGAAATTCCTTAGTTCACCAAGAATCCCAAAATTTGTTGGGTGCAAAGTGTAACATGAGAAAGAAAAAGAATATAAAGTATTTATAATTCAAAAGAAAAGTGTGTTATTGAATTTTTTCTCAATAAAGGTGTAATTACATTTACTTTCTCTCAATTCACTAAACCAAAAGTCTCTTTTTTTTTTTTGTCCTAGTTGTTTGATCTCACAACAAAAACACAGTGAACTCACTTCCCACAAATCTCATATAAGATTTAAATTCTAAGCTTTGATACCATTTGTAATGCCCAAATAGCAATAACAGAGCACTAATTGTTTCAATAAAATTTTATTTATCAAAATTATCTCTCAATACAAATAAATCTGTCAATATAAATAAATCTCTTAACAGGATTAAAACATCAATTCCATCAACATCTCCTCGTTTTTAATATTTTGATTATCTCGTTTCGATCTTTTCTCTAAAATCAACCTAAAAATATTAAATAAAGCGGGAAAGTATACAATATGACGAGAAAAAATATGCTCGAGGATATTGAATAATAAATAATCGAGTATCACAAAGTATCTCAATCAACAGATACAAATAGCATATTTGCATATCACACGTCATGCAGAATCAAAACTGATCTGACACCTCACCAATCATCCCACCTCAACCCGATCCCACCGGTGTCTTGGTTGGCGATGCACCGGCTATTGGCTATCACAATCTCGTCTCAATATCCGCAGAACACGATTAATAAGATTAAGAACACGATCAATGAAATCAAAATATTCAACGATATTCAATCGAAATTCTAAAATAATGATAGCACAAGTTGGAATACAAATTAAAGGATAATCAAAGAAATACTCTTTGCAAAGAGATTTAAAGAGAGCATATTGTATACCACTCCTACCTCAGAATTATTATTTGAATTCGATAACTCTGATTTTCGTTTCATTCTTCTTATTTTCGGGTAACCCTCTACTTCCCATTTTTCTTTTCTTTGTTTCTGCCAGACAACTCCTTGTCTGTCTCTCGGTTTATCTTTCAAGACCTCCTCCACTTTCTTTTATTTTTGGCTATCTTTATATGCAAGGAAGGTGGGACGTCTTCTGTCAAATTAATTGGCAAGTGTTGAAAAAAAAATTCCACAACTTTTTCTACAATATATTCAATGCTAGCTGAAATCTCATTTCTTTATTCTTTCTCTCTCTTTCTTTGTCTTATCTCTTTTTTTTTTTTAAAGTCTTCACGTGGGTGAAGACCAAAGCAGTTAAGATATTTATATTTTACTCCCCTTTATTTCACTTATTATATATACCAACTAAAAAACTTAACTATTCCTTATACTTTCACATCAAAACTCATAATATTTTACACTTAAACTACTTCTAAAAATTTGGGATCTCATAGATATAGTTCCAATTTTGACTGTTTTACACGATTTCAAGAATGAGTTCTGCCCATGAATTCATACTAATTGGTATAAAAACTTATTACTACGTCGAGTATCAGATTGAACCCAGTATGAGATGCGGCTATCTGTGATCGAATCATGGAAAGGGCAACTTATAGGCTGCATCAAAATGTTTTGGTGTTATATACGGATATGGTGCCAAGTCATTGAATACTAATGAGTGAGTGGAGCTGCCAATGAAAAAGGACTACCATTGTGAAACTAGGACTAGAACTAAAATTCAAACGAATTTACAATCAGCTTATAGATATACAAACACACATCAATGAAAATGAAATGTCCGAGTATGCAATTAAGGTACGTTAATATGAGGACACTCAAATTGGTGAAACTAGTGTCCCAAAGTTGAAAGATGGTACAAATACTAAAATTATTGGATCACAGAATATAAAAAAATCATAATTAGTGCATGTAGAATGAAATTCAAAAAAACCTGTTTCACCTATACCAATGCAAATGCAATTAAATACACCATTGGAGATCACCACAGTTCCGATGTGGGATCACTCAAATCCAATTTTTCATGCTTTTTTGAACAATGGGGAAGGGGAAAGCCATAGTTGAAGTGGCAAACACCTCATAGACTTAAGTGAACCCACCACTAATTCCGAAAAAGTCTAACCTTTGAAGCCAATAATGACACTTGCATTGCATACACCAGCGAAGATCACCACACTTACACTGTTTTGACAACTATTACAAAATGTAAACCTTGTTCTTCAAGCGGCTCTTGGTATGGAGTTGTTTAAATTTACTCATCCACTCACAAACATGTTTGTTAATAAAGTTGACGAATATAAATCATCTTTAAGTCCACCTAACTTGTTATTTCTAGAGGATACTAAGAAATATGCCTATTAGGCTTCTTCAAGTTCGTGTTATAAAAGTAGATTACAATATAGTTTGATTAGATTACGGTAAAATTGGGTTTTTGAGAGTTGGTCTTATCATTTTAACATCAATCCTATCATTTACAAATAATCATAACATTTTTAGAATTGATCTTAAACTTTTTTTAATCTTAAATTAATCTCATGCCATCATAATTTGACTTTTTTAAATCTTAACTTGGCCTAAAATGAGTTGTAACTTGTAAAAGTCTCTTCAATCCTTAATGTTTTTTAGACCTAAAAAAATCTTCTCCAATTCTATTCCTAAACTCATATCAAATCAAAAGATATTCAAATTTTACTCAAATCAACAAAGACTCAAACTTTAAATCAAAATCACCAATAGTCTGATTTAGAGTCGATCGGCCAATAAAATTTGGACTTAGACTCCACTTTAAGGAAGAACTCATAATTTATATGTATGTAGTAATAGCCAAAAACAATTTTGAATTCATAAAAAATAGGCCTCACAAAAAAACTTAGATTTAAACTCAAACAAAAAGATTTCAATTTGAGTAGAGTGAGCCTAAAAATTCAGCCCATGAAAGAAAAAGGCCATAAAATTCAATTTGTTTAAAAAAAAGAAGAAAAAAATTAATAGTAAAACTAAAAATACTGAAAAATCAAGTTTTAATCTCCAAAAAAATTAAGTTCAACCATCATATATTTTTCAATCTCTCTCTCTCTTTTTCTCTCTCTCTCTCTTAAATCTCACCATCAAGTTCAAATATATTAACAAAAATATAAAAACTTAATTAATTTTTTTGTATTTCAAAAAATTTACTATTTATATTGAAAATAAAAATGCCTCATTTATTGTTTCCACTTTAGGCCCCAAAATATTCCTTGTTAGATTTGATTATCGTTTAAAAATTCAATAATCATATTTCACTCTCCTTTAAATTTGAGTTTATTCACTAGTCTTGTATATGAAATTAAACTTTTTATTCGTAAAGGTTTATATCAAGGTTAGAGGTATTCTAACTCACACTTATTTAATTGTAAATTTTGACATGATATTAACGCAATTTCTCTCTCTCACACACACACACAAGCTGAGAGCCTCCCTTTGTGAGAATTTATTTATCATCCACACTTGCTTTTGCTTGATTATCTAATTTAATCTCCCATTTTTAGCCCCACATTAGATTTGTGAAAAATAATTGTTTGATAATGAGCAAGGAATATTCGTATGTTTACTAAACAAGATGTATTTAACTCATAATTTATTAGATACATTTTATGAATGTTAACTAAGAATCATAAATAAATTGCTCCCGGTTGTCCAATCTTTATAGAACGTTTAATAGGTAATCTACCAGCTGAACAATTTTAAGAAAAAATGAATTAAAAGGGTCTTTGTATCCACAAATTAAGTACAAACAACCAATATGCAATCACTAATAATGCCATTAATTATGTACAAACAAATAGGGCATACCCAATAGGCTCTCGTCATTGAGAGTTTAAGGAGAGTTAGATGTACACAGTCTCATCCCTCAAAATAAAGGAGAAATAGACAATTAATATACACTCACTAGTAATGTCATTTGTCTTCAAACTATTAAATTTTCTAGCAGCATACCACCACCAACTTTTTATTTCCAAAACGCAACAAATGCAAACAAAGTCGATCGATCATACAAAATGTAATGAAGGAGAACGGCCTAGACAACAACAGAATCAGAGTTTTGCTCCAAGCAAGGTCATGAGGAAGTCCTTGTAGACATAATGAAGGAGAACGGCCTAGACAACAACAGAATCAGAGTTTTGCTCCAAGCAAGGTCATGAGGAAGTCCTTGTAGTCTCCAGAAGTGTCGTCGATAACTGCATTATCAAGGCTAGTTTTGTTCATGTTAAAATACTCTCCTCTAATTTTCATCATATCAATTTCAGCTCGAGTTACAATGGCTCTGGTTAGTGAATCTTCGTCGGTCCCAAGCCCAACAATTGAAGCTCTAATAACCTGGTAATGTTCCAAACAACAAAGGTGGTAATATCAGATACTTCCACCTATAGGAAAAGTAAAAGAGCCAAAGGGAAGGAAGGAAGAGAAAGAATGACAACTAAACTTCAAAATACTCTCTAACAACGAATCATTTAATCTGATGGTAATAATGCATTTACTTCTACATAGATAGAACTTCTCTGCCAAATCTAAAGTGTTAAGCCGCATATACTCCAAAAGCTTAAGTTGTTAGAGACGGTGTAATTTAAGTTTTTATGTACTTCAGCAATAAGTTTCAACTGAATCGTCCAAATGGATAGTTCCATGCAAATTTAATACTTTCAACAGGAAAGAAAGAAAATTGGAAGTTACTTTTAGCTACCGGGGGGAGGGGGGGGCAGTACCATTTCTTTCCTATTTATAGCCTTTACCCTTTGGACATAAATAAAAGGGCCTATGATCAGTCTTGTTCTCGTTAATCAAGAATCCTCGGAAAGATCACTGGATAGATGCCTAATCTTTGACTCTATATGCATCCAAACCAATTCAACGCACTTGATAGTCCAATACTTTACCATTTCACCAAGCTATCTCCCCACCCCTATTGATGTAAGAATTACACATACTTCAATGACCAGTAAGGGATGCTGCAGATTGTCCAACACACAGATCACAGGAAAGAGAAAAGAGAGGTCACAATGAGGTTTGTGCTCTAAGTCCAATCTGCACCGGCCTAGTTCTAAACTAACATTCTGTCTGAAAATGGGTCGAGATTAATTTTGGACAATACAAGGTTGTCCATAACGGAAAGCATTCGGTGCTCATCCTTCTCACTTCCTCGCCAACTTATCAAACTCATATTCAAATGAAAATCTTAATTCCAAAGAACAAAGAATCAAATTCACATAACATATTTTTGGTGATATTAATAAAGTAAGATATCTGTGCTCAGGAGAAAGACGAGTGGAAAAAAAAGATAGGGACGTTTGACATTTCAATCACCTCAGCAAAGTGCTTTTCTGGGGTATCTAGACACCAAACAACCACTTTCAAAATAGATTCCAGAATGCCTTTGCCACAGCGCATGATGTCCTGTCAAGCCGTTTGTTTGAAAAACTCTCACAAAAGTAAACATAATACGAAGAAGAAAAGAAGGAAGCAAAAAGAGAAGAAGAAAATTGTCAGATGATCAGTAGGTTGAAAAACCCAAACCTCATGAATGGGATTTCCATAGCTCTGCTTATAGCATTGGAAAGTTCCTTTTAGTTGGAAAGCATTCCTAGTGCCAAGTATCCACACAATATCATCATGATCTAATTGTTTTGCTTTAATGGCTTCATGTAGCTTAGCTGCCTCTAAATTTGCCACGTCCAAATCCACCACTTCTCTATCATATCTATAAGAACGCACTAAACCCACTAGAATCTGTGCACCAACAATACAAGTTAATTAGAACTCACACTCATACACCTCTAATACTGTATATGTTCAAATAACAGCATGAATCAAATTAATCAAAGCTGTTGCAAATGCAATGGTTAAGGATTGCAGCATTGCTGATTGTTTTCAAATGTATGAGAATTACATGCTAAGGTGGCCCAGAAAATATCCGCAGCTTCAAGTTTAATGTTTATGTCCTTAGGCACAGATTTGAACCAGTGCCAAGAAATGAGGTTCTTACATAAAGTAAAACTTGGAAGTCATTTCCAATTTTTTTTTGGTTAATTTTCAGGTCTATCTCTTTCAAGCTAGTGAAAGTTTTCCAATATGTTGGAAGCCTCTAGCTTTCCTATTAGATTCCACTGCTGTTTTACGGAAACTATGCCACCAAATAGTTGTTTTATTTTTTGATTTTTATAATTATTGTAATACTTCAAACTACTACCAATGTAGATTCTCATAGAAAAGATGGTTGATCCATAATTTTTTTGTGATTCTAATATTACAACACAATCGACATATCAATCTTGTGAGAAATTTTCCGGATATAAAATTTCAAGTAATTATCTTTATGAGGAAAAACTCGAAGCTCAAGCTTACGCATCTAAAGACCTCGGAAACATGTTGTCTAGCAACAAAGTGGACTGAACAAAATAGTAGCAGGTAGATACTGAAGAAACATTCAAGTTAGTTAAATTATTTGTTATTGAATAGTTGAATCAGATGTCTCTAATTAATAAGATTTACAATGTCTAAAGGCAGGTTGTTGCTCCGAAGAATACGGCACAATATTGCATAGTGTCAGTATGCTATCTTTGTGAATAAGTCAATTACCTTTTGGAGTGGTAAGGAGACATTTGAAGTGATGTCTTCTTCGAGTGAACAATCATACAGAGAACAGTAGGCATGCCTCACTGCCACCAGATGGTGAGGCGAGGATGCACATGCTATCTCAACTATTACTTGTAGTTGGTTTATGCCTTTGTTCCTCGACTTCAAGGCCTCATTCGCCAGCCTCGCGTCCCTTTCAGGAGGATCATATGTCCACAAAATCACCGATTTCTGTCATTCATCAAATGTTTAGAGTGTTGCATTGTATAAATGCATGGATTACATTTAGATCTGTTAATTGACCAGTCTTTCCAAACTTTGATTTCCACTAATTGAGCTTGAGAATGTTTTGCCAGAAATAAAACCAATTAATTTAGTAGAAGTTAAAAATTCATGTAATATCAGATACGGCGGGGTACTCTGGTTTTGTGATTTCTTAATCTCCTTCCTATCTATAAGCCCGCCCCAGAAGCCTAGGAGTGTACATAAAAATCTAAAGTTTTGTTTTTACAACAAGAGCTTGATACTGATACTGCATTTAAGATATTTAAAAGGACATCAATATCAGGAATGGAATCAGGCCAAAACCCATAACTTATCCTGTTTAATAAATGAATTGTTTCTTATTTAGGATCACATCAATATGTAGTATCAGGCATAAATTTCCACCTCCTGCAATGACTCAGTTCTTCGAGCAGCCAAGACTAACAGGACCATCAGTGATATGGGGTCAAAAAATGAAAAAAAACTACAAAAGAGAAGAAGACCTATAGGCTAAAATTAAATTTTTTTGTGCAGCCTCTCATTTTCTTATTGAGAAGAGAACAGCCCCTCGCCCCATTTGAGATACTCTTGACCAAGAAGTACTCGATTCTCTTTTGGATAGGCACTGAAAGACAGGATGAAAGCTATACTTTTGTGTCATGTTCAAGATATGCATAAAGTGCTGGAAAACATGTATATTATACATAAAATCCACCCACAATCATTATCAAGGATTCAAGAACACAAGCATACAACTAGAAATCATAAAAGCCACACGCACTGGAACTATAAAGAACCAAAAAATTGAAGAAAATAAATATTTTCCCTCAATCTGGAATTCCCAATGCTCACATGACACTACCTTCTTAGTTGAAGAAACCAATCATGTTTTCTTATTTTCTTGTTGGGTGCGGCAGTGACGAGAGGATTGAGACAAAATGGGCATTTTTTTTTTTTGTTCTCATAGACAAAATGGGCATTAAAACATCAGAAGTGGAAGAAAAATTAAGACAAGGGATTGCAAATTTGTCAAACATGGCAATATCTCAAGAGGCCAGAACAAAAAATAGTAACTGCAATTTGAATTGAATGATTTACCCTGAAATCACCAGACAGTTCGGACTGGAGACTATCAATGAGGGACTCATTGTAAAGCTGCTGATATGTCTCTCTAATCTTCCTCCTTTGGCTTTCATTCCTGTGCCCCAACACCGATATTATCGCTGCCTCATCCGTTCCCCATCCTAACCATCAAATCATCAACCCATGATCTTGAAGAACATGTACACATATGGATACACATAAAATGTGTGTGTGTGTGTGTGAAAACAAACAAAGAATCATAAATTGAACAAAAGCCCAATTACCACCAAAGAAAAAACAGAAAATTTCAGAAAAAGAACAGGAGATGGGGCAGGGGCAGGGGCAGGGGGGAGAGAGAGAGAGACCCTGGAAGGCTTTTTTGAGTCTTCCACAGTCTTCGGTTGGAGGAGGAACAACATCTGGTAATCTGAGTGTACCCATTTTTCTCTCTATCAGAATTTTCTCTCAGAAAAATCCAGACAAACAGAAACGAGAAAATAGCTCAACTGCTTAGTAGTGTTCTATAAACGAAATGTTGTTTTGGTTTCAGTTTCTTTGTTTCTTATGAGTCCGTTATTGCTGCTTTCCCTCCTCATTCAAAGCTGAAAAAAAAAAAGGATGAAAAATCTTTCACTGGACTTTAATGCCCCTTCTCTGAATTTAATTGCTTTCCAACTCCTTCTCTTATTTTCAACAATAAAAAGAGTGGAAGAAAATAGTTGAAAATCCATCAAGGGGCAAGTCAAACTCAGTTTTTTTTTTTTGTAAATTTTTTGTAAACGTACAACAGGTCATTAAAGAATTTCATTTTCGGTTAAATTAATATAAAGTAATATAGTTGATCATCCTTCAATTGGGTTATTTTCAACCAAGAGACCAATCCTTATCAAAAATAGTGGTTGAATTCCAATGTCCCAATTTTGAAGTTCTATTATGTTATTTCCATCACTCGGGATTTTCATATGCACTCGTTAGGTACTTTCTCATATGTAGAGATGTATGATTGATTTGTTATTCTAATAGTAATGTCTTATATATAGCAAAATAATAATAATAATAATTTTTAGGCATGCCTTTTGGTTAATTTGCCAGAATACTATCGAGAGTCGCAATGAAAGAAGAATTTGAGGAGACAATAAAAAGATTTTAATTTTCTTAATTTCAAATTTAATCAAGTTCAGTGTTAACGTCAAATTCATCAGGTCCATTTGGGTGCGGAGCAAGGTTTTTATTGTTTTTTTTTAGTTTAGAAAGGCCAAACACATGAATACAAGAATTTACCATGTCACAAAATAAAAAGATTAGGATCACTTTATAAATTTTGAGAAGTTGAGAGGGGTAGAGTATCAAATAAGATAGAGTTATGCCTTTTTTACACTATATACACGAAAACCTCTCAAAAGTCTAGTGGAGTAACTAACCCAACTGTAATTCAAGTACTAACATGGATAAGGTGTGAATTCATATGCTTTGATTTCGAATTTTCACAATTTTTTGGAATTAGACCATAAATTTCCTAATTCTAGCATTGATGATCTATCTTTAATTAGACTAATAAAAAAATTAGTTAAGGTATAAATAAACTAGCCCAACACTTCTGAATTCATTTGGTTGTTAGAGAGACTAACAGAAATTCACTTGTGGACTTATAAGAATTCATTTCAATCAATTCTACTTGATTGACAAAATAATATCTAAAAATGAAAATTTTAGATCGTCAATATAATATAGTTATAATTTATCAAACAGCAATGTT